TTCTTGCCCCTGGTAGTTCCACCGTCACCAAGAGATGCTACTTCACAAACGAGTTCCCGACAGTGATACTTGGAAAGCCCTGATCACTTCAGCAAATGAAAGTAATGTCTGATTCTTCTAGAAGCCACTCCTCACTCTCGTGGGGAGGAAGATGACCTGTATCCTGTCAGACAGATGTACCATACCTGTCCCCCATCATACGACGGGTACTGCCTAAATGGTGGTCTGTGTGTCTACATTGAACAAGTAGACCAGTACGCATGCAGGTAAGTTAAAATGATCTTTTGGGTATGATATTGAAGTTCATCACTTTTAGCTAATATGTAAAGTTTCTATTGAGGAGATCGCTACAATTAGATTTCACTTATGAAAACAAGTAGGAACAAGGGAACTCCCAAAAGTTTGTGGGGAAATGGTGAAGGCAAGAATTCTCCCACTGAACACCACGCCTCCTTTGTAATAAGTGTAGTCCAGGGATTTAGCTTCTTATTAAACCTTGATTTATTTTCTGCCAAATCCAAGAGGGCTGCGAAAAGTTCATGAACAAATGCCATTGTCTCTAAATTCCCTTGTGCCAGAAGCCTTTGGGACTCCTTGTCTGTGGAGAACATCCATGATGAGATTTGGGGTTTACAAAAGCCTTGGGCGTCTTCACAGAGGGCCGAGGTGGCACACATAGTTAGTGCTGGGACACCAACCAAAGGTTGGTGGTTTGACTCTATCCAGCGGCACCTCAGAAGAAAGGCCGGGTGATTCCAAGAGGTCACAGCCACGGACACCTTGTGGAGCACGATTCTACTCTGTGACCTGTGGGGTCCCTGTGAGCGGACGTCAACTTGAGGGCCATTGGTCGGCGGTTAGTCATCCATGGGCACAACTGGACTTCATGCCTTTGACTTTCAAAACTAAAAAAGAAAGAGTTTTGCCCTCATTTCCAAATAGTAGATTTTGACGTCTTCTTTGTTTAGTAACCACTGCTTGATGGCAACACAGTAGGCCCAGGGTCAACCTGACACTTGGATTGGAGAGAAGCCTGAAGCAATGGAGCTAATTCTTTAGAGCTCACTGGCAAACTTTTCATGGAGCCTTTAATAAGATATGCTCTCATCATATGCCTAGTTCTGCACCACGGTTTACTTTGAATGACTTTCCTATTTTCAAGACTCTGTACCCATGATGAAGTAGGCTTCCCATGCTAGCCTCTTAATTAATTGATAAAGTTCTCTGTGCCTGAGAAAGATGTGATCAAAGATTCTGATCTTCACAAGTAGATGTTATAAGCTTAAAGACTCTTAATAGTTTGCTATTCAATTCAGAAAGCTGAAGCATCATCTAAATTATTGAAGGAAAGAGTCATATTCTGTGGCAAGGTGTGTGGCCTTACATGACGCCTCATGCTGGCCTGGCAGAAATAATGAGCAGTGCTCATGCAAACCAGCCAAAATGTTGCCGAATCCTGCTCTTGAGTTCACATGGACATGTTTTAATTGCTTAAACTAAAAGGAACCCAGCCCTTAAAAAATAGTCATCAATGAGTTTAGTATTCAAGAACAAATCATTTTAACCTTTTCGTTGTTTCTTAATATCCCAAATGATCAAGTTATTATTAAATTAATTATAATTAATTATTTAAAGTATTTGTTTACTGGATCATGGTTTGTTTTTAATCTATAGTGCTATAAGTTTGGATGATAAAAGACATTAAATAATATGAAGAGTTATGCCCTGTATTTAGTATAGCGTTTCCATTTGAACCTGATATCACCCACGCATTAAATGATAGATGAACCCTTTAGAGCACTGCTTTTCTCTTTGTCATTAAATCCTGAGGAAAATATCTGATTTCCTTGGTAATGTTTTAGACATGAGCTGCTACAGACAATTAGAGTAGAGATAAAATTCAAATGGAAGGACCTTTAGTCAAAAGCAGTCTTTAAAATATCCCTAGAGTATCAGGATCATAACTTTGTTTTTGAAATCCATACTTGATAAAATTGTAGTTAAAACCAAGACTTGAGCCCTTCCCTCCTCCTGCCCTGATAAACATCCCTTTGGGATCATTCATTCCATAATAGCATATATCTAGGCAGTGTTTAAAAGGAGTCCTGGTGGCTGAGTGGTTTATACGCTGAGCTGCTAACCACAAGGTCAGCAGTTCAAACCCACCAGCCAGTCCGAGGGAGAAAGGCAAAGCTTTCTATTCCCTTAAAAGAATTGTTCTCTCTGAAACCCACAGGGGCAGTTCTACCCTGTCCTATAGGGTCACGATGAGTTGGCATCAACTCCATGGCCGTAAGGTGGAGCTCGAGAGAGTGTTTCCTAGTCCAACTGTTATTAGCAGTGCTTCATGACGTCATTCTAGGCCAAGCATGCCTATTGCTGTGAGCAGATTTAAGGAAGGCTGGATCTTCCCGTCTTGCTTCGAGAGGCAATGGGAGTCCCTCACAGACACCTAAGTTGTCCAAGGAAGATGCAGAAGAAATGAGAGCAAGAAGTCTCTGTGTCCAAGATGCTCCTCGAAATTTTCCTGGTCTGGAGAAATCTGCACGTTTTCTGAAGCTCCAAACCTTGTGCTCTCAGAGGCGTTTCTTGTGTCTCCTGGTTAATGCAGACCAGGGTCCCTGAACCAGGGATCCTTCGACACCAACCAGGAAGAAAAGACAACACAATAACACCTGTTGCCATCACGGCGATTCCACCTCGTGGCGACTCAATGCCTTCCAGAGTAGAAATGAGCTTCGGGAAGTTGGGATGGTTGCGAGAGCAGATGCCAGATCTCCTTCCATGGGTGGGTAGATTCAAAGCACAAGGCATCCCTTTGGAACGGCTCCGCTCTAATGCACGGATCACCAGTGAGTCTTAATGGACTCATCGGCCATGGGTTTGGCTTGGGTTTGAGGAGACTTACTGGCTGCGTGATCTTGTACCAAATGTGCAGCCCCTGTAAAAACGAGACTTTGCTATTGGTAGTAAAATGATTAAACGTGCCCTGCACATAATGTGCTTGAAATACTAGTTCTTCTCCTCTTCTCCCTCTGACCGTGGCTTTCAAGCTCCTATGACCAGCCAGGGTAGAACCAGATCAAAGAGCTCCATCTCTCTGAGCTTGTTCCCAGCTTTGCTTCATACCACTGCTTCCCAGCACGGGGCCTGTTATCAGTTCTCTGGGTGTGCTAGCAAGGCTTTCTAGGGAAGGGTGGGAACATGGAGAGAGAGTTCCACGTTCCCTTGTGACGGAGAACGAACTCACCAGGAGGGAGCATCTGACAGGAGCGACCACCATGAGGGAGCATCCAACAGGAGTGATCATTCAGCCCTCCACTGCAAACTAGAATGTTCGTCATTGGGACACCCTGGCTGCCCTTGAGAAAAAATGTAGCCAGCCGTGTCTGTCTACATGAAACAAAGAACCCAACAGCTCCCCACCATCCTCAAGTCTCTTCCAACTCATAGTAACCTTCTGTAGGAGTCCCGAAGCTGTAACTCTTTAGGGAATCCGATGGCCTCATCTTGCTCAGGAGGAGGAATTGATGGGCTGGCAGTGAGTGGTCCAAAGCTTACCCGACAGGGCCACCTGGGCTCCTTTCTGTAAAGGCGATGGCCTTGGGACCCTGTGAGGCAGTTCTCCTCTGGCCTCGGGCACTAGGGGTTGGACTTGGTTTGATCTTGGCAGGTTTGGTGCTTGTGTTGTTCCCTTTGGCCTCTCGCAAAGACTAACAGAGTTCAATGTCCAATCGCTGGCTTTTATTGCTACCTGAGATTCCCCAATAAGTTCTGAAAGCATTCATTCCCAGTAGATGGCAGCATTGTTTCATATACTTTAAAGGCTGCTGGTAATTGTAGGAATAATTTCACTGATGAGGCAACTGGGAGAAGGATGGGGCTTTCAACTCCAGGAAAGGTCTACAGTCTTGGAAACCCACCGGAACAGTTCTCTCCTGTCCTGGAGGGTCTCTGAGAGTTGAAATCAACCAGATGACAGCATTTATAAATAAATCTAGTGTCCCCCACTCCTCCAGATAGTTGAGGTCATTTTATTCTTCTTGAAGAAAATAGTAAATGCTGGTACTTCAGCACCGAAGACCTCTACTTTGGAACTAAGAATGAGTTTCTTCAAGGAGGGGAACGTTTTCCTCAGCATAGTAGAATGCGCCTCCTGGTCAGAAACTAGGCACATTCTTTCATGGACTTCTTCCTCTTCTGGGGCTCATCCTCCCCTTTAGCCGATACACACTGCAATCTGGTCACTGATTCCAAACCCCACTCTCAGCTCGTAGGGCAGAGTGGCTTAGTGTTCATCTTAAAAGGTGGCTGACGTCTCAGAACTTGAGACTAACTTAAACTAGAAGCAATGTTCTCGATGACCTCACAGAGGTGATATGCAAAGAATCCCGCATCAATCCCAGGGCCGGCAGGCCAAAAGGAGAAGGAAGGTCCAGGCTGTGTGAACCAGTGAGGCCCAGTGTTCTCATATGACCCCGGGATGCATTGTCCACCTGCCTCCCAAGAGCTGAGTAGGGAAAAGTAAGGATGGCGGGCTGGCCAGGAATGGTGTCTGGAATCCGTCGGTGTTTGCGGCTGCTGACAAGCTGTGCTTATGTGTCATCACAGGTGTGTCGTTGGCTTCACTGGGGAGCGATGTCAGCACCAAGAACTCAGATGGGAGCTGCGGCACACTGGCCATTGGCGGCCGCAGAACATCACCATGGTGACTGTCGGTGTGGTCGGGCTGGTCCTACTGCTCCCCTTGGCACT